CCTCCGCCTCCTCCTCCTTCTCCTCCACCACCACCACCTCCTCCTACGCCTCCGCCTCCTCCCTCTCCTCCACCACCGCCTCCTCCTACGCCTCCTCCTTGTCCTCCGCCGCCCGAGCCAGGGCCGAATTGGTCGGGCGGGCTCGGCACAACGACGATCGGGCTGGGCGGCGCCGTCCCAGGCGGACTCGGCGCGAACTGCGGCGGGTTGATCGGCGTGGGCGTGGACGCCGGCGTGCCCAGCCCCGGACTTGAGCCACCGCCATCGGCCGGCGGGCTGGGCTCGAAGGAGGGCGGGACGGGGGTGATGGGTGGCAGCTGGTCCGGGACGGACGGGGTGGTGGAGGAGGGTGCCGTGGAGGTGAATGGAGGCGTGGATGACGACGACGGGGGAGCGTCGGGAGGGTTGACGCAGAACGGGGCATCGACGGCGGCGAGGCTCGCACTCGCGCTCGCGGCCTCGCTGCCAGCGCTGGCGTCGAGCGACGAGGGAGGGGGCGGCTGCGTCGGCTCCACCGCCCTGGCGAAGTTGAGCTTGAAGAGCACGTTCATCAGCGAGTTCTTCTTGCTCTGCTTTAGAGCTCTCGCCTCTGCTCCACCAACACATGGGACTCCAATTAGTTAGCACAATGCAGGTTAACAGACAGATTAGCGAGAGCTGGTCACTGAGATTCGACACTGTTTTCACTCCACTACACTCAAACGGAGAGCACAAGAAGCGAAAAAAGATTTAAAAAATGACGGCTGTTATAGTATCTTGGTTCACTGGATGGAGTGAGCTTACCGCAGTGCGTGGTGGTGCAGAGCGTGAGGAGCAGGAAGAAGAGCAGCGACGGCGGCGGCAGGCTGCTGATTCTGCAGTTGCGCGCCATGATCTACACTGTCGGTTGCTTGCTCTGCCCTCTACTGACAGTCGGACACTCGGACTGACTGACACCGGTAGCCTGACACTAGTATTGTCTACTGCACCGCTCGAGGAGGCCGAGGAGGAGGCGCTTGCCATATTATAGCTGAGGCTCGGCCACTGAAGAGAAGAGGAAGCGTGGATGGGAGGAGCGGCCATCGATAAGAGGAGAGAAGAAAGCGGTGGAAAAGCCGGCGGCAGAAAGAGGAAAAAGGACAGATCGATGATCCATGTAGTAGATGTAAGTGAGGTGTAGTGGCGTGGCGACGATGATCCTGCTTGCTGTTGAGCCAACTCTTTTTGCTTTCAGGAGTACTAGTGTGCTGTGCCATGGGCTTGAAGGTGAACTGATGCTCTTCTGCCTTTCTTGCCGCTCAGTTTTGGTATCTGTGCTTCGCTTGCCACCGGGGCAAACGACCAAGGCCAACTGATGCCACCACACTAGACACAAGGCTGTCTGCCCTTTCTCCGCTTGCTCAAGGAAAGGAAAGCGCGCAGTGTTTCTCAGATCGTGAGCGACCATGGACAGAGGTATCTACATGACTTCATGTGTTCCAAGAAACTACGTATCTCCTTGCTGCTGAGTGCTGACATTACATCGCTGCTCTCTTTCACGTCCTACTCTCTACTTTGCTTCTGATCAGTGGATGTGATCCTCTTTCTTAGTGCGATATGTCATCACCTTGCACGCTCTTACACGCCTGATCAACGTACCCAACAACTGGCTGATACCGGCTGTATCTGTCTTTTGTTTTCACCTACAGAAGGCCAGAGCAACATCAAGTTGCACAATCGATATACTCCCTCCGTTCGGAATTACTTGTCGCGAAAATGGATGTATCTAGATGTATTTTAGTTCTAGATACATCCATTTCCGAGACAAGTAATTTGGAACGGAGGGAGTACATATGTTGCATTAACTTGGTTCACATCCATAACAGGCGCATACTCAAGACCGTACCACATAGCATCACGTTACAGTTCATGCCGCAAACATCAGTACTGCCACAAGTTTACTCAGCCAACTACACACAGTTCACATTCACACAACGTAACCTGATTACATTTTATAAACTTGCTAGCGTACCGCAAAACTAGTTCCCCACTTCATACCAGCATTTACCAAATGATGACTATGTCCACGGAAACAACAAGACTGCAAAATTCATGCCTTGTGCATACCATCTCTCGGCCTTGAAGGCGTGGTGAGAGGGAGTGCTAGACAAAACCCACCTCAGAAATCGTAGTCCTTCAGACCCCTCTGGGAATCTGCCATCTCCATTTCCATCAAGCACTCCTCTTGGCTGAGTGGGGGAAGCCCATTCTTGTGGCGTGTGTAGTTGTGCTTGTGCCACCCGGACTTGCAGTGGTCTCTGTACAGCTTGTCCTCCATGAATACGTCACATTCTCTGCATCTTTTCTGCGGCTTGCCTGGTGCCTGACCCTGGCTTTCCACTTCACTTGAAAGGCTCTGTTTCTGCATGGTTTCACTTAGCTGAGCAACAGCACCAGACTCCTTCGCAGGCACGGGCTGTGCCTTCTCCACATTGTCCTCGACATTGTCATATTGGTCTGTAGAAGAGCCACCTTCTGTGTGTGCCGACACCGAGAGTACTTCCACCCTCCCTTGCACGTCCTTCAGTTTCTCTTCACACGAGTGCAGAATAGATGGCTCAATCTCACATACCTGCAATATGTTATTCAGAGTTAAGTAGAGTACACCAACTAATAGGGTGAAACATGACATGAAGATATAATGGTTTTGGAGAATAACTGCATCAGTGTCACAAAGAAGAGAAACAGCCTAAGTAGACTTCAATGTTGAGATCATTATGACTGAACGGTACAAAAGGAGACAATGGGCAAGCTTCTCAGTAATAGAACTATCACTAAATGATAGCATAAACCATTCACCAGCTTCATAGCATTTTGGGGGGGACCAGACTGAGTAGCATCCTATAATAACTTAGGAAACACAAGTTCAATGGGGAACTCACATAATAGAAAATCATAATCAGGCAACACAACAATGGCTTGGAAAAGATAATCTAAAGGACTTACAACGGAAGACTGATCGGCAGACTCATCCTTTGAAAGAACAATTGCATTCCACCCATCAAGCTTCTCCATAAGGCCAGCAAGATTGGACTTAGGTGCAATGAACCGCACTGTCAATGGTGCACGCTTTATCTTGTATTTAGGGTTCTCGATTAGCTTCTTAATAACTCTCAGTGCCTGAAATATCGATGAAACTACAAATGAAAAGAGGAACGGGAGTAGATAACAAGTTAACACAGATGTAGACTATAACAATATTAGTATATTACGACCTCTGTCACATTGTCCTGAGTGCAGGTAATAATAACTAAGGTAAAAGGATAAAAACAGGTACCATCAGTACTGTCACAAAGAATTCCTAATTCCTTCAGTATTTTTATCACATTGTGTCAGTGCAAGGTACTGGCATTGAGTGACTCTACCGAATAAGGAGTTAACTAGGGTAGCCCAAACAATGACCCCGGTTGAAAAGAAAAACAAAGACAGATTCGACAAAACTGATACACAATGCCAGGTGCATAACAAACAGAATAGCCTCTATAGTATGGAATATGGGTGAATATCCCCAGAAAGATTATTCATATGCACGTACTTGCAACTAAAGTTGCTGTCCTGGCAAGGACTTGTACATGACATCAATACTCAATTTCTTCCAATTGGGACCAATGCAGATAATTACATTATTTACAGTAAGATATCATCACTCCAGGCAAACTATTCTAAGCTAGCCTGGCAATTTCCTAATACTCCTGTAATACAGGAATCAGAAGGTCAGCTATTTGTAATGTGTACAATAATTTGGCCTAAAGCAACATTTCTTTAATTAAAGAAAATGCATTGCAGGTGATGAATGAAAATGACAGATGCTAAACAAATCGTGATCCTCCATTGGATTTCAAAAAGAAAAATATACTAAGGGCCGTATATCCAGAGCAGAGTGCAGGCAGCTACCTGTTCCTTGGAGGTAAGGTTTGGATCGACGGCAAAGTGTATCTCGTGCATGATGCGCTCGATCATGTTCATGGTGTAGGGGCGCCGGGTCTCAGTACTGATAGTCTTCTCCATCACGATGGTGGCGATGTCCCTGAACTGCGCGGACAGCTGCGCCTCCCTCTCCTTGCCAGAAACCTGGAGCTCCCCTTTCTCCAAAATCTGACAGAGCACAACAGCAGCAGCAACAATTAGCAATCGAGCCGGAAATCAGCACGAATTTAGCAGGACCCATCCAATCCACGGCAGGAGTCGGAGAAAGGGGGGAGGAAGGAGCGGCGCATACCTCGACGCAGATTTCGACGAGGTCGTCGGTGCCGAAGATCCTGATGAGGTCCTTGGACTTGGCGAGGACGCCCTTGGAGACGTTGGAGTAGACGTTGTGGGACTGGAGCACCTCGTCGAGGTCCTTCTCGACGCGGTCGCGCCAGTTGACCACCTTGTTGGGGAAGCAGGCGATCTCGAACCGCTGGCCGCCCTTGCGCAGCCGCACCACGGCCACGTTGGTCAGCCGCTTCTGCCCCACCGGCTGCACCAGCGTGCGGGACATCTCCGGCGACCGGTCGGCGAGGCGGGGCGCGCTCGGGGATTAGGGGGTCGGCCTCGAATTTTCTCGGGGAGGAAGCAAAACCCTAGACGGAAAGGGGGGATTGGAAGAAGCTGGAGGCGGCGAGGGCGTGGGGTGCGGTGGAGGAAGGGGGGGAAAGAGGGATGGAAAGCAGGAGCAAACGGGGCGCGCAAGAAAACTGGTTAGTGTAAGGGCCTTTCTGGGAACCGACAGTCAGAAAACTGGTTAGTTCGGCAGCTACCGTTGGGCTGGCAGCCCATTAGGCCTGATGTCGCCCGGTAGTGCGGGAACAAAGCTGGCCTTTCAACCGGAAGCAAATCGTTTTCTTGCGAGTGATTTCCTATTTAGCGCTTGCTAGAAAACCCTGTACACAGCCAAAATAAACGTACACAGCGTACCCCTCCCCCCCCCCAACACTAGGGTGTAAATGGTACAGATTATCTCCGTTCCGAGTCCGCATCCGCATCCATTTTGAAGGATATGGTATAAACTAAACCTGGGCAAACGTCGGGCCGGGCCGGGTTTCAGGCCGGGCTTGCAAAACCCGAACTTCATTTCTTAAGCCCGAAGCCAGAAATACTCCTTGATTTCAAGCCCGAGCCCGGTCCAAAATCAAGCCCGAAGCCCGAAAGCCCGGCCCGAACGCTTTTTTTAGTACTGTACGTGCAAGCCCGAAAGCCCGGCCGAAAAAATAGAAAAAGAGAAGCCCGAGCCCGGCCCGAACTACCTTTCGGGCTGCAAAACAAAGCCCGAGCCTGGCCTGAGTGTCAAGCCCGGCCCGGCCCGGGTTTTTCGGGCCGGGCTGCCCATGCCCGAGTTTAGTATACACTTCCATGAATTCGCCAGATATGGATGCATATACGAATTTTTGTCAACCGGGTATCCAAGGAATATGTTAGTGCAAATGATCAATAATATCCGTTCCGCTCAGAGTCCTCTCCGTTTTCGCTCTGAAACCATAAGCCAATAAAATCCACGTTCGAATTTGCATCTGGTCATTATCCACTTCGCTCTAAATCCGACAAAAGAAAT